GTTAGGTGCATCTTAGTCCTCAAGGAGATATCCTTGTTCCTCAGTACTTGAAACAGTTCCTTTGCAGTTGACTTTCCCAATGCTACACGTCATCTAATGTCCCGACTGCTGCTTCCATTGGCATTGATTGTAGAACCAAGCAACGTGAATTCTTTGACAGCCCATCAACAGAGGAATGGATAATCAAACTATGGAACATTCACACAGTGGAATACTATGCAACACTAAAGAATAATGAAGAATCTACGAATCATCTCACAACGTGGATGAATTTGGAGGACATTATGCTGAGTGAAATAAGTCAACCACTGAAGGACAAATATTGTATGAGTCCATTACTATAAAAAGCCAAGGAAAGGTTTACTCAGGGAAGGAAATTCACTTTGTTGGTTCCTGGGGATGGGAAGGAAGGGGAGGAAGTACTGATTTGGGTGAAGGGAAAGACAATATAACAAAAGAGTGTGACCAGCACAGTTATAATAGGGAAAAGGAGACACAGTCACATACACAAAAGATATAGACAACAGAGGGAAATACCATTACCTGCACAATACTGCATCACCATGGCAGCAAACACTAGGCTATGGATAAATGCATAGATAGGTGAGAAGATCAGGTATGGGCAGGTGAACAGGAGTATACCCAAGACCAAGGATAGATTTGGCTGAAGACAGTTTTACATATGTACTTGTCCTACAAAAACATCCGCATATGTTACAGAAGTAACAGGGGACAAGGTTGGAGCAGCTTCTCAGAGACAACCAAACACCTTGAAGGAGAGAGTTACCACCAGGCCTGTGGGCTTGGGACCATAGTCTCAGGGAACATCATGCTCAATTGGTACAACGTAGTACGTAAGATTAGTGACTGGGGTCTTGAAAGCTTTTGAGCGGCTATCTAAGATGCAACTATTGGTCTCTCCTCATCTGGAGCAAAGAAGAGTGAAGAAAATTAAAGTCATTTGGAAACATAAGTCCAACGATATGATAGACCACAAGGACCTCAGCCCTCATGACCCTGAGACCAGAAGTAGGTGGTGCCTGGCTATCAGGGCCAACCATTCAAAAAGGGATCACAATTAGAGATCCTGGATAGAATAGAAGGAAAAATGTGGAACAAAATTCAAAAACACAAAAACGACCAGAATTATTGGTTAGATAAGAGATTGGTGGAATCCCCGAGACTATGGCCCTGGGTTGTCCTTTGGGCCTGGAACTGGACTCACTTCCGTGGGGTCCTACATGCAGAACGCCTACCCCAGGGAGAGGCACCCACCTACCCAGGGAGATGCACCCCTAGATCTATCAGCCGTGAGACATCAGGGGGCAGCACTCACACAGAGGGAAGGCTGGACAGACAGGAGTGCACAGATAAGAAGGGCACAGGGAGGGGTGGTCACGGGGAGGGAGGGGAGGGGAGCCCTTTATGGTTGGGGATTGTAATCGGGGCCGTGACACCAAATGTGCATGAGGTGTTGAGAGTAAAACAAATCTGCTCTGTAAATTTGTACCCAAATCATAATAAACAATTTTTTTGGGGGGGGGAAGGCTGTCTGCCTCATTTTCTCCCACAGAGTGGCTGGTGGGTTTGAATCACCAACCTTTTGGTTAGCAGTTGAATGCTTTAACCACTATGCCACCACAGCTCCTCACAACTCTCTCTACACACACAAATATCACTGGTTCTGTTTCTCTAGAGAACCTTCACTGAGACAGACGGGGTCAGGCCGACGGGGTCAGGCCCACGAGGTGGCCGAGACTCCAGCTGTCCACAGTGGCACATCTTCTCTCTGTAACTGGGGATCAGTTCCAGAGCCACAGGGTCACACTGGGCCCCTTTCACGAGCCCTGCCACTCCCTCCTCCCCCCGTGCCTCCTCTCTTGGCCAGGCGGCAATTTTGAAGGAATGTTTGCTTCTCTGTGGGTGTTGTCCCCGCCCCCCTCCGTTGCCTGTCCAGGGTGTCCTGGGGTCACCTCTCGATGATGTAGCTGTAGTCGTCCTGCAGGATCATGGGGTCCAGGATGCCTTTGGAGCAGGCGGAGATTTTGCTGCAGTCAACAAGAGTTGGTGAGAAGTGGTGAACCCAATGGACACGGGACAATAGTGTCTCTTGCTGCTGTAACAGAAACACCTCAAGGGGCTGGCTTTAACAAACAGAAACGTATTGTCTCGTAGTTTAGGAGGAGGCTAGAAGTCCAAATTCAGAGCACTGCCTCTAGGGGGCTCTCTCTGCCCATGCCCGTGCCTGCACCCGCTCTAGAGTAAGGTCCTTGTCTCTTTCAGCTTTTGCTCTGAGGTGCCCCCATCTATCCACCCCTTCTCTGCTCCTTTCAGATATCAAAAGAGTTGGTTAAAGACACACCCCACACTGATATGGCCTCATGAACAAAGCAAAGAAAACCCTGCTCTCAGATGGGATTATTTTCATAAATATAAAACAAAAAACACCCATACAAGTTGGTTTTGACTCACAGTGGCCCTAGAGGACAGAGTCGAACTGCCCCTAGGGTTTCCAAGGCTGTAAGTTTTATGGAGGTGCTCTGGTGGTGTAGTGCCTAAGGCATTTGGCTGCTAACCAGAAGGCTGGTGGTTCAAAGCCACCAGCCACTCCTCGAAAGGAAGGTTGGGCAATCTACTCCTGTAGTGATACCACCTCAGAAACCCAAGGAGGGTTTGCCATGAGTAGGATCCAACTCGATGGCACTGAGTTTGGTTTTTTTGGTTTTTAAGTTTTATGGAAGCAGACTGCCTCATCTTTCTCCTGTGGAGTGGCTGGTGGGTTCGAACCACTGACTTTTTTGGTTAGTAGCCCAGGGCTTAACCACTGTGCCACCAGGCCTCCTTTCCATAGGTATACTAAAAACAAACAAACAAACAAAACCCAAACTCACTGCCATCGAGTCAATTCTGACTCATAGCGACCCCCTTTGCATTTCCAAGGCAGTAAATCTTTGCCCAGTCTTCCTTCTGTCGAGTGGCTGGTGGGTTTGAATCACCAGCCATTTGGTTAAGAGTCAAATGCCTCAGGCACTATGCCACCGGAGAGTTAGGATTTACAACACCTCTGTTGGAGACACATTCAATCCATTATATGGAGAATTGGGACTGAGAACCCCTTGCCAGTCAGATGAGCAAACACTGGGAAGATGGACAGACCCCATCCGGCATGGGCCCTTCCCGATCCTGCACACTGCAACCACCACTGCTGGCAGCGAAGTTAGTCTCGCCTTTTGGGAGGGGCTTTTGTCAGGATCCTGTTGGCCCCCAGAGGTTCATCTCGCTTACACTCTGGCTCTAGTGGGACACACCCAAGGCCGTGGGTTCCTGCAGCTCAGTGCCAGCCACAAATGTCCCCCAGTGGGAGACTGGAACAAGGAGTCCTGGTGGCATAGTTATTAAGTGCTCATCAAAGGTAGGTGGTTCAAAACCACCAGCCACTCCATGGGAGAAAGATGTAGCAGTCTGGTTCCGTTTCCCTGGAGATCCTACAAAGCAGTTCTACTCTGTCCTCTAGGGTCCACAGCCCTGAAACATTGTCTAAGATAGTGTCAGAAAATGAGCTCCTCAAGTTGGAAGCAGATTCTCTTACTAAGTAGAGTCAACCTTACTGATGTGGCCGGAGTAAAGCTTTTGGAACCTCCATTTGCTGTTGGGGCACAACTCAAAATGGGAAGAGACAGCTGCAAACATCCATCAATAATCGGAATGTGGAATGTACAAAGCATGAATTTAGGAAAATTGGAAGTTGTCAAAAATGAAATGGAACACATAAAGATTGCTATCCTGAGCTGAAATGGACTGGTTTTGACCATTTTGAATCAGACAACTGCATGATCCACTATGCTGGGAATGACAAATGGAAGAAGAATGGTGTGGCATTTATTCTCATAAAGAATGTTTCAAGATCTATCCTGAAGTACAACACTGTCAGTGATAGGGTAATATCCATATGCCAATAAGGAAGGCCAGTTAATACTACTGTTATTCAAATTTACACACCCACCACCAAAGTAAAAGACAAAGAAATTGAAGATTTTTTTTTTTACCAACTTTTGCAGTCTGAAACTGACTAAATAGGCAATCAAGATGTAGTGATTATTACTGGTGATTGGAAAGCAAAAGGTGGAAACAAAGAAGAATCATCAGTAGTTGGAAAATATGACCTTCATCATAGAAATGATGCTGGAGGTTGCATGATAGAATTTTGTAAGACTGAGGGCATATTCATAGCAAATACCTTTTTTCAACAACATAGTGACTATTCATGTGGACCTCACCAGGTGGAATACACAGGAATCAGATCGACTACATCTTTGGAAAGAGGCAACGGAGAAGCTCAATACCTTCAGTCAAAACAAGACCAGGAGCTGACTGTGGTATAGCCCTCAATTGCTCATATGCAAGATCAAACTGAAGCTGAAGAAAATTAAAACAAGTCCATAAGAGCCAAAATACGACCTTGATCATATCCCACCTGAATTTGGAGACCAACTGAAGAACAGATTTGATGCATTGAACACCAGTGACCAAAGACGAGACAAGTCGTAGGGTGACATCAAGAACATCATTCATGAGGAAGAAGTCATTAAAAAGGCAGGAATAGGAGAAAAGTGACATGTTGCTGTGAGTCTTGAGGCTGTGCTACTGGTGTTTCAAATCCAGCAGGGTGCACATGGTGCACAGGTATCAGCCTAGCTTACAGACTGAGACAGACTAGGAAGAAGGAAGAGGCCATCCACTTCTCAAAGAATTGGCCAGGGAAAACCTTATGAATAGCAGAGAAACACTGTCTG